GCCGTGGGCGACTGAAAATGGCTGTCGAAACAGCCGGCGCTCTCCCCGTATTTGCCGCTGCCTGTCGCCTCGAGCTGGAGGAGGAGGCCCACCACGCAGCTGAAAGCTGGAGAAGTAATCATTGGGCCGAGGAAACCGCTAGCGGGGAGCACAGCACAACATCGTCGCCTCAGTTTTCAGAGGCTCTCGCCAATAAACTCTTCACCCCCGAGATAGGACAGCTCTCGGCCGGCGTGTACTTTCGGCTCATGTATTACTGCTCCTTCGATTCATCTTGGGCGTTATCATTTTTGGCCCGTGAAAATCCAAGGGCTAGTTTTAGGTGGCTGTTTCGCCGGCCCACCCGACCAGTCCCTGTAGATGTTTATATCAATCGCGAAGATGCCGATGTTATTCTACAGTCTTCCGACGGGCAGAAGTTCCTATATCACACTCTTCTCCTTCGTCTTTCTTCGGCACACAAGCTCGTTGATCTATCGATTCATGCTTCGGCGGAGGGGCCCTCTCCGATTGCGCAACCGAATCCTGATCTACCTATTGTGGAAGTACCGATCCGCGGCTCCACTCTACAAGACATATTAAAACTCTGCCACCCGTCGGTTCACGATGACATTGAAGACACTGAGAGGCTTATGTCTCTCACAGAAGTTGCGACGCAGTATAAAATGACAAAAATCATACCGATGCTGCGCAAACAGGCAATCCGTTTGCTCGAGGCTAACTTGCTCGAGTCTCACCCTCTTGGCGTGTACTTCATCGCTGTACGGAACAAGTGGAAGGCAGAGGCGGAGACTGCTGCCCGGCGCTTGGTGGAATACCGTAGCATCAAAGCAATGTATGAACCGCTTATGGAGGATGTACCTGCGGCCATATACCACTCACTCCTGCGCTACCATCACGAGGGCTCCCTTGCCATCTCAGATGTCACCCAATCCCAAGCTTATGGCTGCGAATTGTGGAAGACGGCTAGTCTAAGACTGTCGAGGTCAATTGCTGTCTCTCTCGCGATTGTCGAAGGAGAGTTCAAGCCCATCCACGCCGGGCGACTCGAAATAGACAAAATAGTCACTAGATCTGAGACTTTGGAGAGGGCTATCAGGGCTAGACTCTTGAAGGTGAGTCCTGTTTTGAACAACGCAAACACGCCTTTGATTGAACTTTCCCGCAGATAAAACTTGTACTTCCCGAAGATGAGTCGTCAGACACGTAAAGCAGTGTGGCGAAGGTAAGACACATTACCCATCTACTACAAGGCCCAGTTAATTCATTACACTTAGGCCGCGTCATATCCCATCTCTTCACAAGGCTAGGGGCGAACTGTGGATGTAAGATCATGGAGCTGGCTTCAATGTACAGCCACACAAATGCCTGCTCTACGAAGCGTATTACGATACCGATATTGTTGTGTATCACTATGATAATTATCTATGCCTCGGTACGATAGTCTGGAGGTCCTTCATCTGTACCCCGCGGTAGTCGAGAAAGAATATTGTTGACCCTCGCCAGCAGGGCAGGTACTACGGTCAAGTCTGAATCGGTTTCGGGTAACTGTGTAGAGAGGCCCGTCATGTATGACGGAGGGAGGTTTGGCGTTGGCCCGTGTGCGCCTGGTGCATGCGGGTGACCCGCCCCCTTGCGCACCTGCGCAGCGTTGTTCTGGTGTAACGGAGCAGCGGATACAAAAGGAGTGATGTGTCCGACCTGCGAAACCGGATGTCGGTCGAGAACAGGCGCATATTCGAGTTTCTGTCGGTCGCGTGCTTCTCTCCGACTCTGTCTTCTGGTTATCGCAACCGTGATTACGATCGCAAGACAGATGACGGCGCAGCTCCCGACGACACCGCCAGCTATGGCGCCGGTAGGAACGCTGTGTCCTGTGGCTTGATCAACTGGGACATGCGGTTCAGTGGGGGATGGAACCATAACGGTGGATCCGATTATAGATGGCGATGGGCTAGAAACGCCATCAGTTTCAGCGAGCTTCCAAGTCGGCAGCAAACTCGCCTGTTGGTACCGTTTCCCGGATCGGCCACAGCAAAGCCAAGAGCGCCATTCAACACATATGCAGCGTCGAGCTGGCCGCCGTAAACGATAGAAGTCGATGGAGGCGGCCCGTGCCACTTAGAGCTATAGAGATTGGTTCCTGGGTTCGTAGCAGAGCTCTGTAGTGCGTAAAACTGAAAAGGATATTAGCATACGTCACAATTTAGGACATGGGTTGGTGGAATTACCTGAGTATTGAAGTAAGCTTCAATGAAACTCGCCATATCCGAGCTTGGTTCCGTGCGGTTCCACGCAGAGTAGAGGCCACGGAATAAGTAGACTGGAATAAAGGTGAGCCAGGTAGTTTATTTGGGAGCGACGAATAGCGACCTCGAGAGTTCAGCTGCCAAGGATCGGATGACGAAGAATCTATAAACATACGTGAGCCGACGTCATCTGGTAACAAAAGCAGATCGGCGTACACTCAACATTTACTCCGTCTGTGTCTGTCCACTGAGAAGACCGAAGTGCAGTAGAGATTAGGGACTCTAAGCTGTTAAGGTTCGGTTAAATCACTTCACCTCTGTGTGTATGAAATACACACAAGGGAGTCCAGGACGAGTTTGCGCTGGCATGGACACTCAAAGCGTCGATGAAAAATCCCGTGTTGTACGATGGGATAAAGCTGCCGGTGCCAAGAGTGCAGTCTGTCGTGTTGAGAGATTCGACTATGATGTTGCCATCGTAGAGTTGCGAACGAACGAATGTGGCGGATAGTTCTGCGGCCGTTTGATAGGTCGTATTGCTTGTAAGTTCATATAGGTTGGCCGACAGCCTACAAAGATAAGATGCTCATCGATGCTGGCAATAACGAGGTTCTACGTACCCTGCCCAAGCTCTGCAATGCATCGCAAGTTGTTCTGATCAGCGAAATATCCGTATAGGCTAAGACGAGCAGATCTATCACGTACGATGTCAGGAAGCCATGAGCAAGGGTATATGATGTGTCGTTTGGCAAATTTCCGTAATACTAGTGGAATTTTAGTGGAAGTAGCAGTCAACATAGTGAGCGTATGGTATAAACGCTCACAGTAAAGATTCCACCCGCTGTAGTCACTGAAGTTGCAACCCGTCGGTCATGGAAATGAATTGCTACAGGAATAGACCTACCTCCGTTACAAGACGAGCGAATCGGGAGCGTCTTCAGTGGATGGGCTCCTCGAGCGGCGTCCTCCGGCTGAATCACAAGTGGGTATGCTATGTTCCACAAGCCCTCGGCCACTTGAAGCGATGAAATGTCGTGGTATGCTCTGTAGCTGTCTACAGCAGCGAGAGCGTACATACTATTTCAAATCGTGAATTCGTGCACGAAGGGAGCCAGGACGGGGGCTTACACAAAGTATCTTGTTTGTTGCTATCAGTGCAGTTGTCAGCACTCGCGACGACGGGATTTATTCTGTGGGCAGATATCACAAAAGGCTACTCACCCTAGAGAAAGAGGATGGGTTAGATGTATCACATACAGGAAGATATTACTGGAGATTTTCCTCGACGCACGGCTGCAATGCTGTTGGAATGTCACCGGTATATATTGTGTTCAGACCGGAGACAACTGCTTCTTGGTACGTCGTTGTACCATTAATTAAGTCCAATTGGGCGGCGACTGACTTGAAGCTGCTGTCACCTCCGTCACCCAACTCTACGAGAGCCATCAGCAGCAGCCGAAAACATTACCCTCTGAATATACCATCGAGTTGCCCATCTATGGGATTGTACGGGGAGAATTGTAGCGTGACGTCGAGGGCTCCTCGAGCGAGCTGTCCCCGTTGGGTAAGGTTCCAAGCTGAGGTGTTCTGGTTGAACAATACAATGAATGGAATCCAGACACAGCGGAGGGATCCAACTCAACTGTATGTATCCATCCAGCAGGAACAGCGAAATTAGCTGGGGGAGGCGGACTGGATGCCTGATCGGCGAGGGCTAGGCCTCGGGTTGCGGTTCCAACGAGTAGGGTGACGAAAAACGTAGTCGCAGGATGTGGTGCCCAAGAATACATGCAGACCTTGAAGCTTAAGGACGAAGTGGTGTAAGACGGGGGAAGCAAGACGACTGTGCAGTATGAATCCGACGTGATATTAGTTGTGCGATTCACAATGAGCTGCGGGGTATGTGCCGCCTACAGCGCCTTCACGGGCAAAGGCAGATCGGCGACGACGCTACCCGAGAGCTATACAAATGCGATGGTTATGACTACCCCTGGAGACAGATGAGAGATGATTGACACATACGCTGACATATGCCGCCCTGAGAGTATACCTGTTACGCAGAGAGTGATCCGGTTAGAACTTGCTCTGATGCCGAATAGACGACTCGCGCTGACGAGGTGCGGACCGTGCGGTAGGAAGCAAGCTGATGAGACGTAGCATATCACTTTGAGGCTCGCGTCAGCGCCGACTGTCAGCTTCGTGAACTCGCCACCGAAACTGCATGTTCACGACACTGGTATGCGTAATTATACCATATACCTGAGCAAAGTGTGAGCAAGGAGCACATCACCAGTAAAGTAGCTCCTGTTCTTTTCAAGATGGAATTTTCGATATAGGTGTCGTCGAGAACGACGCTCCTCCGCACCGTCGAGCATTGTACGAGTCCGGTTCGCTGAGGCTTGCTTATACTATTCAATTTGCAAAACATCAGCCCGAATCACAGAGCATCAATCGTCAAAGATTGAACCACAGCTTGCAGGTACCAAGCACATCCAAAACAACATCAGCTCGAGTACGATCACACTGCGATCCTAGTATCAATAAGTCAGCCATCACCGGCACAGACGGAATTGACACAGACTCTCTGTAGAATTCACGCTTCTGCGGCATCCTATTTGAAGCCTTTAGGTTTTATAGAATGTGTATGACTTAGTGTGAGTGCGGACGAAAAAGTCTAGGCAAACGTTGCGCACGAGACTCGTCCCAGTGGCGAAAGAGTATTGAAAGTGGCCCAGACAGATTGCGTTACATGGTTCAATGGTGTAGTGGTTATCACTCCTGTCTTACACGTCACGTGGGCACAGGCGGTCGTCGGTTCGATCCCGGCTTGAATCATCTATTTTGTACAGCAGCATTGTTATTAGTTTTGACTTTTTGGCTTTTCTTAGCCTAAGCCCCCAAACCTATGGGGGGTCTTGAAATTTTTGGACTGGTGTCGCAAACATTTATTTGAGACAAGGAGTTAATTATGTATATATAAATGAATGAAAAAGAGATTTTCAGTTTGACCTTTTTCAAAATTATATAGGTTTATAATGCTACAAGCTATGAAATGTACACATTAACAAATAGATAAATATACAGTGATGTGTGTTTGGACTTGTGTAAACCCGCCGTCAGGTGGTCAATCACTAGCAGCCACATGCAATAAAACTGGAACGAGCTCTATTGTGTGAGTCTCTCAAAACAAGGGAGTACATGGTAGACTGAAGAAACCTATAAGCCACAAGGTTTGGTGAAGGTGCACAGTAGATTATGTAAGCTACCAAAAACGGCTGTGACCCAACAGAGTTATAGTTTGACTCTTTAGTAGCCCTGCCTCATTCAGTTTGAGATATGATAATACAAAAGAGAATCCCAATGCTACTAAGTTGAGTATACAGAGCAAATATAAGGGAGAGAAGAGAATATTGTGACATTTGTGTCTTTAATTCAGCAGTATACATCATACATGGTGTAGCATTCTATATACTTGTCAAATACCCAGTGTACCTGAAAGCATCTATGAAAACACCTTGGTGGCACTCATCAGATTCAGACAGAGCAGAGGAAATGGGCCTAAAATACCTAAACAAATATCAGACTATGCTATGCTGTAAACCCGGTTTCAAATCGTAGTAACAGTCAACTTGCATATTACCTCAACGTAGCAGATATAACAAGAGGGGCGTCACAGCATCTCTCGCTACATTATAGATTGAATCCGAGCAATCAAGCATCATCTAGCAGTACAGCACTACGAGCAACGTCCATGGCGTAAGTATGTTTAGGCATGAGTCAACTACAACTACTTAGTAACGTACTCGATCCTATTCTTTCTGGTACAAACAAACAGGTAGTAAAACTTCAAAACCGTCACAAGCAAAACTGTAATAGGAAGCAAGGCAGGGTGAGAAGAGGGAAGCAGAGGTGTGGGTCGTAAAGTACGTTCAGGTCACGAAGGTTGTCGAGTTTACACAAAAACAGCATACATCGCGGCAGTATCAGCCTTCGACGCGATGCAGCTCCCAGCATCAGGAGCGGAAGCGAGTTGGGGGCGCTGCTCACTCCTTTTGCGGCGGCGGCAGATCCGGGATCAGGTAGTGCACCGGGCGCATGTCGCCAAAGCTCGACTTGGGGTTGAGGGCCGGGAGGGGCGTGCCCAGGAGCGCGCCCGACGCGGGCCGCGCCGCCTCGAGCCGCTCGGCGGACGGCACGCGCGGGAGCGGCGAGACGGGGGAGGTCGGCGAGGTCGGCGCGGAGAGCGGGGCCATGGAGAACTCGCCCTCGTCGTACTTGGGCACCGCCTTGCGCTGTGTGGGCCGGCGGTGCGCCGCCCGAGGCGCGCTTGGGGTCGTGCGGCGACGCGAACGGGTCGCGGACGACGCTCGAGCCCGACGGCGAGCGGGAGACGGGCGTGCCGACGAGCCGGGCGAGGGTGTGCTCCTGGGCGCCGACCGCGCGCGAGCGCTGTGCCGCGGCGGGGTACGCGGACGGTGGCTCTATCGGCAGCTGTGGGATGGCGGTGTCGGCGAGGTCGAACGACTTGTTGTACTGCGAGTACGAGTCGTGGTTCTGCAGCGTCGAGTTCTTCTCTTCGTCGTCCGAATACGCTCCGCCGAACTCGTCGTTCGACTGCGAGTACCCGTGCGTGTGGGAGGATGCGGAGGGCGCTGTCGCATGGCGGCCGAGCACGGCGTTGGACGTTGTAGAGTGGCGGGCAGGTAGGTCGCCGCCGGCGACGCCGACACCGTACCCAGCTCCGCTCATCCTCTTCGTGAATCCGTCCCCGCTCGAGATGTCGCCTGCTCCTGGAAGCCCGGACGAGCTCGAGATCCTGACCTCTCCGCGCCTCCTTCCCAGGCCTCCGCTGGTCCACGGAAGGACTTCATTTTGGCTCTTCTGCGTGTTGCGCCGCCGCAGGAGGAGGAGCAGCACACCAACGACTAGGATGGCAAATGCCAGCCCGCCAATGACGCCTCCTGCTATCGCTCCGGCATTGCTGTGATGCGACGCCGCAATGATAGCCGTGGGAGAGGATGAGGACGAAGGCAGCGAGACTGCGGATGATTGCTGCGAGGTCATGGTCGCCGCGCCTGAGCTAGTCGTTGGCGTGGGTGTCGCGCTCGGGTTGACAGTAGTGTCGGTTGGAAGAGTACCGGACGACGGGGGCTGCGAGTCCGTGGGAGTGGATGCAGATGTGGTGGGAGTTGAAGTGGGAAAGCTTTGAGGGTCCGTCGATGCGGGTGATGTCTCGCCTGATGTGGTATGAGAGATGGACAGGATGGAGCCGGGTAGGGCAGACCGAGAGCTGGGCGTACCTGCGGGGGTGGAAGAAGAGGAGACTGGAGGAGGAGGAGGGAAGGTAGGGACTATGGGACCCGGACCCGCTATGCCCGAAAGCGCAGTTGCGGCCATGATGATGTAAGTAATGTTCGCTGAGGCCGTCGGTGCCTGGGCAATATTAATCAGAGCTCGAGCACCGCCGCAACAAGTTTGCTATGTGCTGCCTCCTCTGTAGACGACGCTTTGAACGCCACAAAGTCGCCGCAGGAAAGCCGTGGGACGAGCTTGCACTCGAGACTATCTGTGCCTCCAGTTCTATCCGCAGGTGCACCGCCTTGTCAAGCAGCAGCGGTATTCTCAGAAACGGAGTGTGCTCGCCTCGCGCCAGCTAAATACACACCTACCCCTACGCCGTTCGGCAGGTTCTCACCGCGCAGCCAAGACGGGGCGGTGTAGGAGGAGCAGGAAACGGCGTCGTCAAGCCTAAGTACAACACGACGAGGTCAGGTGAACCCGCGGCGCCAGCCCCGACAGTCTTCGGCGGCAACCGCGTTTCCAACAACGTCCGTCTGCGCTCACGCTGATCTCTTCACTTCAAGACCAAAATGTATACTTTTGGCCCTGGGTCGGAGGAACGAGCCGTTCGGCAGGCTAGGTGCCTCAAATCGCGTTGCGCGGTCTCTTTCTGGGTATTCTTGGCCTGTGTGAACTATCCTAAATATACCCTAGGCCTGCCGAGGAGCCCAGTAGGAATTCAAGACCAAGCTACAACCTTCAAAATAAGTTCGTAGTGGGCGGGATAAACGATAAATAGGTGCGTTCAACTTTTGCTATAATCCTACCTCTGACTGGTCGACCGGCGTCGCATAAAATAGCTGAACGTTACTTTCAGGCCTGCCAGTGTCGCGCCCGGTAAGGCACATCGTGCGCATGCTAGCGTACAAGACCTGGATCGCCGCATGCAGAGGGTCGGCTCACATTCTCTTCTATCTCACATGCTGAAATTTGCCATCCGACGCCTCCGGTCACAGTTATCTCCCTTGAGATAGTACATGCCTGAGGCATAGCCTGCTCATAGATCCGTGAGTTGGGCTCTCATCTCTCTCAAGGCCCTCTGCTCTGTCCAGAAGCAATGATGGCATTAGCTTATTGATACTTGGGGCTGTCATCGGTTGTGTAGACTACCTGCTCTAACACCGGACACCGGATCATTGCATATGCATGATAGTGTCCACCTGCGGACACAGTGCACTCCTGACACCCCTTTTCTCCCCTCCTCAGATACCTTCTCTAGATTTATACGTGCATGAAGTTTGCTCTGGCCAGGTCTATTTCTTCATGGCTTCCTAGTGCTCTTATCAGTATGGGCAGTCTGGTGCTCGCTGACCTTGCGAAGGGCCCACCTCCGCCTGCCGACTTCACAGTGCCCAACGGTTGGGCACATACAGTTGAGTAACTTACTCAATTGGATGGAACGCTATCGACGTTTTTTTGTCCAGAGCATCGCCGGCTGGAATTCCACTCAGAGGGCGGAACTAGCCAGCGGAGCGATTGACATAACATGGGATCATCGGCCTAAAAGCTCTTCTGATACCAACGGCGACAGTACGTTGCATGACCGTTGACGATGCAATACTAAGTTTCCTTTCAGCGTTTGTCGTGGGAGGGTGGAGCATATTTGCATCGGCGGCCGCTCTACTGGACTTGATCAACGGCGCAGTGACCTACCAACATCCCGTTGTTACTGCCGTGAACAATATATATGAGAAAACTGATAATCCAGCGCCATGGACGTAAGTCGACTTAGACCTTCTTTGAGAGTTTTGCGTACGATGTCGCTAACCTATGTCTCTTTTTTAGGGTATGTCAAGATAAACAACTTAGTTTGCTATCGGATTTGACATGCCCGTTACTAGGATCTGACTCAGGACGTTATGTAAGCTTTCGTTCGAGGAATAGGACCCTACACTTACGATCAGGACGCTAAATTCGCAGCCTATCCGCGCTGACGGTGACGGACGCATATCGGGCGTACAAGAACCCGTCGTCTCTTGGCGTTGCTGAGGGCTTATGGAATCTTGCATATCCGCGCGTAATTCAACCCGAAGATGCTGCTGCAGGAGCACATTCCATGAAGGATGTTCCGATAACCTCAACCTGTCACGGAGGTGGGTCTTTTCGCTGCCACGCTACTTCGTTTTAGTAGCTGATGGATAGTCATTTGAGCCACCATCGCGGGCGGAATATTCACGGTGAGCTTCTGCTGCCCTTTGAATCATATGAGCCTGAGAGCTGTATTGATCTTGCAAACATATGCCCTAGTTCTATGGTAGCTCGGAGACGAACGTCTCGAATACACTCGTCCACGGCTTTCTCACTTCGTATGTCATTGTGCCCCGAATGCATGCGCATCTGACGATCTGGATTTGTGACGCGGCATAGAGCTTGGGCAGGGTAACGATCCTCTGGTTATGTGGCACTGATCACTGAAGCATGCTTCGCAGGTTGTCTGCAAATCTGCACGAACTTACGGGCAACAGCACCTACCAAGCCGCTGCCGAGCTTTCGGC